GAGTCGTGCTGGAGAACCTGGAAGTTCCTAGAGAAAACACTTCTCTAGGCATCTGTAGGTCCTCCAGTATGATTCTATGGTCAACCTCTGGCAGATGTTGACCACAGAGTTGCACTGGAGGACCTGGAGATTCCTAGAGGTGTTCTCAGGTAAAAAGTGTTTTTTGTTTTTTAATTTATGGGTTCCCCACATTCACAGGGGTCCTTTGTCCCTAACCCCAGCGAATGTGGAGGGACCACTGTACATGAAGCCACTGGAAGGGGCTGTCTAGTTTCGAGGTGTGGTGACACAAAATGATACTCAACTCTACTACTCCTTTCCACCCCAATCCAAGGAGGCTGTCTTGGATTCAAACTAGGGTCTCCAGAATCAGTCCAACACTCAAACCACTAGAGTCTATCAAAAGCAATAAAATAGATGAGGGCAAATAAATTGAAACGTAATCCGGACAAGACAAAGATGCCCTTGGTCAGTCGGAAGACAGATCAGGGAATGGAATTCAGCTTGTCTTAGATGGGGTTAAAACAATCCCCCTGAAGATGCAGGTTCAGTGTACTCAACTTTGAACCTGGAAGTTTCTGCAGTGACCAGGAGTGCTTTTGCACATTTAAAGCTTGTGTGCCATCTGTGCCCATTCCTTCAGATGCCAGATCTGGCCATGCTGGTACAAGCTTTACTTACTTACATCCAGTTTGGATTGCTATAATGTGCTCTAGTTGGGGCTGCCTTTGAAGAGTATTCAGCTGTTCCAAAGAGCTGTAGCCAGACTGTTCCCTGGGGCAAGTTACACAGATTATACAACACCCCTGTTGTAACACCTCCGCTGGCTGCCATTTTGATCTGGGCAAAATTCAAAGTTCTGTTTATGAGCTTTGAAGCCCTATAAGGCTCAGGGCTGGAGAGGTTTTTCAGTAGTTGCCCCTGGACTCTGGAACTAGCTTCTCAGGGAAGCCAGAATGGTCCCCTCCTGGTTGTCCTTCCATCCTAAAATCTCTTTATTCAGACAGGCTTTTAAAACACAGTTTTAAAAAGGAAGGGGTGTTGCATTGTTTTAAATGGACGGCTTTAAAGAGCTTTTTAAAAATGTATTGCATTTTTTTTTTTACTCAAGGGTGAATTGTTTTAATACTGTAAATAGTTCTGTTTTAGTGTTCACTTTCTGTAAGCTTTTAATTGTATTGTTCTTTTAAACCGTGAGACACCTTGAGTCCTAATTTTAGGGAGAAAGGAGGATCTAAATCAGGGGTCGGCAAGTTTCCCTTGCCTGGGGCCGGTCCGCTGTTCCCCAGGTCTTCCGCGGGCCGAGGGTGGAGGGGGGGCAATGGCGCCATGTGCGCATGCTCACTCGTGCATGCGCAGTACTTCCGGTGTACAGCGCATGCACGAGCGAGTTGCGGCCGCTAATTTGTTTTCCAAAATGGCGGTCGTGACTCGTTTGCGCATGCATCGAGTACTGCGCATGCACAAACGAGTAACAGCCGCCATTTTGTTTTCCAAAATGGCAGCTGCGACTCAC